GGTATTAGACCTAGCCCTGACCCTGCGATTCAGGCCTGACCCGTGTGGGGTCCTGATACCCGAGTCAGCACAAAACTAAGAACTTACTGAATATGATTCCTGAAAAATGAATCTAGGCCCTGAGAGACTTGTTTTATGAAGTTTCTCACAGGTGGGCGGAGCCTCAGAGACAAATATGCTCCAAGGAGACCAGATTCATGATGATCATGCGAGCGCTTCATCTATTTTGGCTCATTCATCACACGAGGAACTGAGTGGATCAAATGTAAAAAATAAAAATACTTCACTGCAAGCAGAAACTAAACTAAAAGTGAGAAGTCTTGAAACGTGAGGATATCTGAGGAGGATGAACTTCAGTGTGAGTTTGGTCATGTAGGTTTTCAGACAAGCTGCTCTGAATTTATTTAATGAATTTATATAAATCTATATAAAATAAAACCTTTAAGAAGCTAAAGTGGTAAACACAGAGCTGCCCCTCAGTCTGAACGTTTTGATCATCCATCAGATCCAACAGATGTGCAGAACTCCCTGCATTTAGAACAGAACCAACGTTTCCAGGTTTATTTGGAGAACAGAGTTCAGGCCAGAGAGCTGCAGAAACAAACGATGAGCCGAAGTGTTGAACACATCTGAGAGAAGCTGAGGCCAATCAGCTGCTTCAAACCAAGTCAAAGCTTCATTTTAGCTTCTAAAACACTGCTTCAGAAAAACAACTGGATTATGGATGCTGGTCTGCTGCATAAGCTACTCAAATACACAGCTAAAATGACCCAAAATAGCTAAAATGACCCTAAAAAGCTAAAATGACCATAAACAGCTAAAATAACAGAAAAAGTGCTAAATGACCCTAAACAGCTAATGACCCTAAACAGCTAAAATAACCATAAACAGCTAAAATGACCCTCAACAGCTAAAAATGATCCTAAAGTTTAAATAAACAACTAAAATGACCATAAACAGCTAAAATGACCATAAACAGCTAAATGACCCTAACTGGCTAAAATGAGCCTAAATGTCTAAAACGAGCCTTAACAGTTAAAATGACCCTAATTGGCTAAAATGACCCGAAACAGCTAACATGACCATAAACAGCTAAAATGACCCTAAACTACTA